AAAGAGACGACTACAAAATTTTTTTCGCGTAATCTTCGTGGATGCAGCTTTCTGCAAACTTTCCACGCCGTGGTGCCATACAAGAGATCTAACCATCAACAACAGCTGGTGTTGCGTTGATTTTTGTTGCGTTCTTACTTTCTCGTTTACGTAGGCATTGTTATCCATACAAATGGTGAATTAATTTTACAGAAGTGAAAGCTGTCAGCACGCTGCTAAATTTTTTTCTTATTCATTTCGTTTATTGTCATGGTTCCCAAACATGCTTCGCAATCAACTTAGCAGCTGCTATTTCTGGAACGACTACAGATGGAGTAAAACAAAAGCGAAAACTTCTTTCATAGCAAACAAATCCATTCAAAGCGTTGCAAACAACCTGCAGACGGTGAATCATTATTGATAGTCTGTTTTTCTTCATGGCAGTCGCCTCCGCTGGAGACAAAAGCACTCGTATTGGTATTTAGTTTTTTATACACTACTGCAGGCCTTGCGAGGCCCGAGCAGGAGTGGTTTGTTGGTATAACAATGATGAAAATCAGTTATAAACAAGATAGAAAAGATGGGGGAAAAGGAATACTAATTGAGAGCAAGAAGAAATAGGCAATAAACAATCGAAGAATACACCAGAGAAAAGGAGAGGACTAATCAGTGCATATTTCACACATATGGCACATAAAAAGGTAATGACCAAAAACAGCGAATCAAGGCAGCAATGATCATATACAGTAGCGTAGCTCAGATTACTACACAACTAGATATGAAAAAACGAATCAGAGGATAAAGTCACCGTTACAAATTTATTCTACGAGCTAGTTGAACAAATGAGGAACAATGTTTCATAAGAAGAAATCAGATGGTAAGGCATTCAAATCACTTATGGTGCGTGGGAAAACGGAATGTTTGAAATGGTTTGTACGTGCAAAAATCGAGTTAAAATTACAAGGGTTACAGTTCCTGGTGGGTCTATGGGACAAAAGGTTTAGATAAGGAGCGGGGTCGAGTGCTAGTTTACGGTTCCAAAGCTGATAAAGAAATTTTAGTCTTGTTATTTTTTGGCGGCTCTGTAAAGTCATGATGTTTCTTCGCATTAAAGAGGTAGGCGAGTCATGTCGGCGCTAACAATTATGTATGAACCGTACAGCCAGCCTCTCAATTTTTCAAGTTTGTTAAAGTCTTTTTTAGTGTATACGGGTGCCAAACGATGCACGCGTATTCGATACGAGGCCTCATTAGCGTGTTATATGGAGGAAGTTTAACATGGGATGGGGATTTTTTTTTTTAGGTTGTATCGTAAGAGGCCGAGCTACTGCTGAGTTGATGCACAGATCTTGTCCATATGCATTGACCGGGCCAGATTATTTGTAAATGCTAAGCCGAGAGATTCAAAGCTATTGGTCGGAGAAATTTTGACTCCCTTTACAGAGTAATTGAACATAAGAGGACATTTTTTATTAGTCATACGCATTCACACTGTCTTAGTTTGGTTTATCTTCATTCCCCAAATGTCACACCAGTTAGATATTGAATTCATGCTGTCGTTGAGGGTAAATTGGTCATTAGTTGATTCAACAGCTCCGTACAGAAGACAGCCGTCCGCAAATAAACGATTACTAACGATTTTGTGCACACAAGAGGTTATGTCGTTCATATGTACCACAAATAATAAAGGCCGCAGGACACTTTCCTGAAGCAATCCAGAGTTAACTTATCCAAGATCTGAAATGTGACCACCGACATCAACAAATTGTTTTCGATGTTCAAAATATGAGGCAATCCACTTTATTAAAAGATGCGGGACAGGAGTGTATTAAATTTAAAGAAAAGACCTGAAGGCGAGACCCTGTCGAATGATTTGCTTAGATTTAAGAGTGCATTCATTCATTTCATTCATTCATTTATTGATACTGTCAGCCCTTTGCGGGCTATTATAGGAGTGGAGTTGACTCATATAAAACAGAAATTTGCATAAGAGAAATGTAAGAAAAAGAACCTACACTACTGGAACAAATTGTTTCATAGCACATACAACAAATATATCATAATAGCTAAGCATATAGTTTACAGAAAAGTTAGTGAAAAATAAGAATGCTGCGTCAACTTGGCCGGACTTGTCGAGAACTGAAAAAGAGGTATGCACAATTGAAACGACTTGAGTGGTAGTAGATAGGCCCCTACGAAACCGTGCTGGAAGGGTGTTAAAATATTGCGGGAATCTCAAAAGTCAACCAGATAGTTGGAAGTAATATGCTCCATGAGTTTGCAGCATGAATTGAGAAGAAAAATATGGCGATTGTTAGTAACGATGGCTCGATCGCCAGCTTTAAAAACAGGAACTGTGCGTGCAATACGCCACTTGGCGGGGACAACACCTTCAGAAAAGGAAAGATGGAATATGGAATGAAAAATTTAGCTATGCATTCGGCATACCGATATAAAAATATTTTTGGAATCTTAATAGGGCCTACAGAGGTTTTCAATTCAAGAATAAGTAACATTGCAAGTATTTCTTCATAACTGATAAAGTCAAAATTTAGTCCGGTTGCATTACGTAGCTGAATCTGAATCTGAATTAATAGATTGAAAGAAACATTTAAATTTATTCGCAATCAGCTGTTTTATCTATTATAGTTTGATTTCCCATATTTATGCTAATAATGTCATCACGCCCTCTCGCATTTAGTAGACGGCAAAATTTCGAAAGATTACTTTTGTAAAATTAAGCAAGGTGGTCGAATAAAAAAATCTTACTTGCACGAGTAAGAAATGTACTAACTTTGGAGCAAACAAAGGAATAAATTTTTGACACGCGCGTTTTTCGCATCATCCCAAATGTACTTATCATTGTCAATGTGAAGTTCATCGTTGAAAAGGTACATGTTTTTACCACTGTCTTTATCTGGTTCGGCACTTTTCCGCAGCAACTTCCTTTTACGGAGCGTTTGCCGAGAGTAGTCGTTTTTTATGAATATCTTGGTCCCTTTCAATTTCTTTGCGTTTTTGAGGATATTAACTTTTTCGTTAAAGTCTTGCAAGTACAATAGGTTGTAAGTTAAACCTGAAAACCCTAGAAAAGCGTGTCTTCTAAGGGAATAGAAAAACAAAATAAACGGCAAGCAGAACAACGACCGATATATCAACCATCTTCTCGTTGCTTGCGTGCCATAATACACATAACCAATGCATGAACGAAGCTGGATGCTGTGTTGTCCCTAAAGAACGTTGGCCGAAATTGTCAAGCTTGTTTTGGCTCGAAAGCCTTTCGCGAACATCCTTATGATTTTACGCTGTATGAAAATGTGAGTAATTACCTAAATGTCGGAAATGTGGTGTTTACTGTAAAGAGACATTTTTTGTTTAGGTGGACCGACATCTGAAAAGTGTGTTTTCCTCAATGAAATGCAAACATATAAACACAAAAAGAACTAATTGTACTCACACTCTCATTATTTTTTTAACTTTTGCCCCTGAGGTCCTGATATAGGATGAAGTTTCGATTAGTGAACTGAACTAAATTAATATCGCTTGTTGATGTGTTGTGTTTTTTATGACTCTTGGGCGGACGTACTTATTCAGAAGACTGCTCAAGTTTGTTTTTTTTGAAACCGTTGTTCAGGCAATATTTGTAAAAGAAAACATATTCACCTGCATGTGACGATAATCTTCTTCAGCTGAAAAAATCTTCTTGATTGCGTGTTCCACTTCTGCAGTGAGTGTAATGCAACGCGACGGTGAAGAGCTGTATAATTTATGTAGACCCAGAGTAGTAACCTACTACGTTCTTATGTTTCTCTTGGATCTCAGACTTTAGCTGCCACTCTACCGATATCTGTTTACAACTACGAATTCGTGGGCTTTCCTATATATCATATTTATCATTAACCTTCTTCCTTTTTGGAGCGTACAAAGCTTTGCTTCCATCTCGCCCCCCCCCCCCCCCCCCATACGAAGCAAGCATCCTTTGCTGCAGTGTAATAGCTCGCAATACTGCTAATAATAACTAAGTCTGCACAACTAGTCCAGAACAGATACTCGGTGCCCATTTTGTGTAGCTTTGACTGGAAGCAGATTTGTATTTCTAGTATATATTCTTCGATTTGCCCAAAATTATCACATCAAACTTTACCGCACTCGTTTCTGTTGTTTATTACAAAAAATGGAATGACATTTTTCTATCCCCTGGAAGAAAACTTGGTTTTTATATGAGAAATCTCGTAAATCACACCTCCTGTATCTTTCGGTGAGCGCATATGTATGATCACAATATTCAAACATAATCTGTCACTAACAGGTAATTGTACTGCTTGCGGTTCTTGTTGGACGTAGCCCTGAGTGCTCTACGGCTGCCTAAACAATATTCCTTGGGATGGAGAACTTTCTAGCAGCGCATGTGCATGGCCATCCGCTAAAAACCTGTGCAATACTTGGTAGTACAGTTCTTTATAATGTTTTTGTGCCCCTGTGAATGCATTTTATGTAAGTTTAGAATTATAAGCGGCAGTTTATGCCATTTTGTCATTGCTATTCAGCAGAACTAGCAGTGACGTGAATTTTGCAATGCAAAGTTGACTAGTGATCCTAACAATAATTAGGTGCAATTTATTTATAATTAGTTAAATACTTCAAACACGAATAAATTCTCTTTTGTGCAAAACTAAAAAGAGTGTCCCATAGTATTTTAGTGCATCTAAGCACATTAACAATTTTGCAAGCGAAGAGCTACTTTTTTGACATTATTCAATTGTTGTCGTGGCTTCTAGGGGGAACGTGTCCAGCCCAGCGTCGCGCAAGCTTTCACTTTCAACCTTGAGTGTCATGGTCACTTCAATAAATCAGGTAAATGCACCCAAACGTCGCCTACCAAGCAGGCCGATATCGCTGAACACCCTCCTTAGGCACATGTCAGCAAGTGTTGCTCTATAAGGAGATTTTCAGTGCAAAGCCGTAATTTCGAAGCGGAACATTTTATTTCGTATTGCGAATGAAAAGTAACCAAGTGCTTTTTAATGAGCATATAGAATGACAGTGATAATCAGGGCAAGAAATTAGTTGATAATAGGCTGAAACAGTCATTTCTATCGTTGTCTTCTTTCACTTTTCAGCTGGCTGCTACGACGTGCAAGGCTCTTGTGTCGGGTAAGAAGAGCGCAAAGTGATCGAACGCACGTAAATTATTCCAATGCAAACAGCAGCCATGGCGATAATGCCTAGTAAGAAGAATGCGATGATTCCCCACTGCGATCCGGTGCTTCCACCACTGCTGTCCAAGCCATCCGACTCTCCAGGTGTATACTGCATAAAAATACATTACCAGTAATTAAATATTGATTTATTTTACGCATTGTAATTGAAGTATGAAAAATAGCCTTTAGTTGAACGCATTAGATTTTTGTACAAAACCTGGAGATAAAGGATGTTATAATTCACCGTATTACTTATTGTCGTATAATAAAAACTGTTGCTAACTGTAGCATTGGGTATTTTGAGCATTGTGCAGGCGGAATGAACAATAATACATGAAAGAGTGATATACCACCTGCCCTTAGTCATTTGAGGACCAAAGGGGTAACGATGGTTTTGCCCAGTTACACTTATTTCTACTTAGAGGAGCCCGGCGGCACTTTTTTAGGTTGTCATGGAACGAGCTCACAAAAGGAGTGTTTCGTCTTACAAATACACAGCCACAAACGTTTTCAGAATCCATTGAGTACCAGCGAAGTTACCAATATTTGTCGCACGATACTACTGCATTCACTCTTCTCTGGTCCCTGCGAAAGCGCAAGAAGCTAAGTAGGGAGGGATAGCATGGGAGAAAAACACATTCCCCGCACCTAGCTATAATGAGTACCTCTTCTCTTCTAAGTGCGAAGCATTTCTTTGAGTACTGCAAGCACTTTTGGTGTCTATATAACTACGTATCTATATAGCTGTCAATCTATTAGCTACCCACGTCTGGGTGCTCTCGTGATCATACCCTTCACTTGGAGTAAACCGAAATATGCACGGGAAGGTAGGTATAGTTCGCCGAATATGACTCGCTCGCCACGACATAAGTATGTCGCCATCCAATCGCGTACGTCGTCGAAGCTTTTCCACCAGACGTGTGGCAAATACCCGTGAATAAGTGTGTGCCAAAGGCGATTGACACTTTATATCTACCCCGGACCAGTGATTACATACATGGGTAATTCTAACGCGTCAGCGTTAACAAGAGCCGGCATCAACAGTATTAACCAGGTAAATGCAAAAAAAAAAGTTCGGGTCACGGCATGAATCGAACTCCCAAATTCTGCATGGCAATCAAATATTCTACCACAGAGCCACGCAAGGTCTTCCTACTGCTTTTCAGATAAAACCGTAATATTCGTTAAGTGCTAGTCAGCGAAGCACTGTTGCATTTCAACGCGATACCTTTAAAGAGGTTGTCACGCAGAAATTTTGAGGCCGGCGTCATTGCTGGCGTCAGTGTTGCTCTCGCCGCCAGCGTAGTTCGTTGTGAGCGAGAAATTGTCATCGTGTGCGTGACCGAAGAGTTGTGGGAGATCAAAATAAACTAAATAAGAATAAATTCTGGGACCGCGTGGGGATAAAATCCAGGTGGTTTCCATGGCAAGTGGGCGTTCTGCCACAGAGCCACGCGTCTGCTTGTGAATACAGTGAAAATTACTTCTTCTGCTTCAAAATGCGGTGAAGGTAACTCTCACTTTAGAAACACACACGTACTGTAGGCTTGCTTTGCAGTACATCATGTAATATTGCAGTAATATTGCGTGGTACAAGCGTACATTACTATCGGACACCCCAACAGTGGATTTTAACTACTTCCTGGTTTGAAGCCGGCCACCAGCTACACTATAGACTCACACGTTACGACACGTATTCATTTATTTAAGGCCATCTGCAAGGATATATACATAATTGTCTTTTTGACTCGTGAGAGACGCCATCTTGAGCTGATGAGCGTTTTTTTTTTTGTAGGTTTGCTATGTCAGAATATAAAATGATTGTGGCCGTGAAACGTTGGTAGTGCCAGTAAAGCACTTTTTTGCACTTTTGTTCACCGTAGCACTGTTTGTTTATTTGATACGAATACTAAACTGCAATGTTATGAGTCCAAAAGTCGGCGCTTGAGCATGTTTGGAAAGTGGTGTATATCAAGCCAGAAAAAATTTCACACGCATAATTACTCGTGATTTCAATCGCGCCTCCATTACAAAGAATGCACTGGTGACTTTATGTTGCAATCGTCTTCAACTTAGAAAGTCAAAGATTAAGGCTTCCTTAATATTTTTTCAGCCACGTCATTACTCACACGACTCACACGAACCCTACTACCTACAAAAGAAGATAAGTTAACTTTAGATTTACTGAGAAGAAAACCGGAGCAAAAAAGTATTTGAGTGTAATAGGGAGAAAACCACCGCGACAAAGGTATTACTCTCGTTGGAGCTCCAAAAAAGCACACGAGTGAACTGTGCTGTATTTGAGGTCAGGAACCCTTTTCATAAATACACCACCGGACAATGATCTTTCCATCAGTTTCGATCTCACAAAGGGTTCTGGGATAGAAACCGCCAAGTATAGGTCAGGTGGTGTGTGCGCGCGCTTCGTACGTGCATCCTACCGCCAGTGAAACAAGTTCCACAATAGCGCTCGTATTTTCAACGTGAAATATGAAAATTCCCCTGTCATGTTTTTCGTTGAGCTATGTCAGACAGAACGCAGCTCAAACCAGCAAGGCATTCGTATTTATCTTACTTTATTCGCTGTGGCTTCACGTTTCTGAGCATGCGAGAAAGTCCCACCTGAAACGCTTAGCAGCGTCTGCGTCTACATGAAACGCTTTTGGTGTCGTCTGCTCCGGCGCCCTATACATGGCGGCAAAGAGTAGTTCGCGTAATGGGTGCTTGTGGTGCCATTTTACGAAAAAAGTCTATTGCGAACCAATTTACAACATATTGCACATTACCAAATTTGGAATGCAAGCAAAAAAACTACTACATGTTTTGCTCATACATGGATTTATTTGTACGCTTCAGCCTTTTACGCATACAAATCAATGCCTGAATACGCTTTACAACGTCCAAAAATGAGTATAAAAACACTTCCTTTAGAGGTGGCAGCTGTAAAAGCCATTCGTGCTTAACGCCGCCTTTTGAGTGTTTCTCTGAGGCAGAAAACGCATCGACGTTGATAATTCATTAGAATGAATGATAATGTTCATTAGAAGGCACCACGGGTCTTACAAGTAGCTCATAAAATATTTTCTGGAAACAAGCAAGCGCTTTCAAAGCTGTGGCGCGCTGTGTTACAATGCCGGGCATATTGAACAAATTTGCCATAGCCGGGTCTCAGGTTGGTTTAAAATAAGAAATGATAGTACTCACCACTTTCGTGACCTAAATATGTGAAAAATAGCACGAGGAACATTTATGAGGAGAAATTTGTGATCGCAAAAATATATTGTTTATATTTGACTAAGAATATCAAACACACGAGAACGCTTGTAGTCATTTGAATTGTCATGATACTGCCAAGTTTATAGCTGCTGCGTTTGGGGACTAGCTGATCGCACGCAGCCTGCGTTGTGTTTAGCTTCACATAATGACCTACAAATTAACTGTACTGCTGCCACTCGCAATATTACCTAGCGTTTCTGGAATGCCGGTCAGGTTCCTTGTGAACCAAGCGAGCAACGAGAATACAGAAAAGCTGGGAGTTTACCTAAGCAGAGAACATACGAGATTTAAAAGTATATATGGGTTCAGTCTTCGACGCACCGCTTTGAACGACTTATCATGTGCTTCACTGCATGTGATAAACGAGACCCCATGGTAGCGATGACCTCAACGGCATTGCGTGCAAGCACATCGTGAAACAGAGTTAAAGGGGTGAGAACTTTTACAGTGAACACGCGACCACGTGGCACCGTCAGCGCGACGTAACAGCCATTGTTGGAAGCTTCGCAAATGTGCAGTATGTGGTCTGCGATGCAGTCTTTCCACCGTGCGCAGCACGTGATGGATGCGCTTGTTCATCGTCAGCTAGCCGCACTGTTATCTTTTTAACCAATTCATCCTGCATTTAAAGTAATCCCTCATTCTATATTCCTTATCCATAAATAGGTCCACTTTTCCCAGCGGCGTTATGACAGGGTGGTTATACACATTAAAATGCGTATGTTAGTGCGTGTGTGCGTGTGCGTGTTTGTGTATGTGTGTTTGTGTGTGTGGGTGGGTGTGGGTGTCATTAGATGGACAGGTGAAAAAAGGCGAGCTCCTCATGATGAAATGTTTGACAGACCTGGGTTAGGTTGTTCACCAGTGCAGACATATTTCACCTTTATAAAGCATAAATTGTTGTCAGCCGCCAGCTGGCATATTCTTGTGGGCCGGATGAAAGTTCCTGCCCTGTACACAGCGTTTCTTCCTGTTCCGTGTATTTGCCAGAAAGAATGAACCAGCTGTGCTTCTCAAGCTGCCTCCTCGTCACTGCTCGGAAAAGCATTTGAGAATCGCTTGTTTGCAGATGATGAAAGCGAAAATAATCCAAGATGACACGAATGGCAGTAATTCCTGATACCGCAGTGTTTTCCTTATCTCTTGTAGACAGTGATGACAGTGGTGATGACGATAGTGGTCAAGCAGACACGAGTGCACATTAACGTCTAGAAAACAAAAGGTGAGGTGAAACTGCTGTCACCATTTGTGCGACAACGTCGTCGAAAGTACTTTCTCAGGACGTGACAGCGGGAAGTCATGCGTCAGATCTGCCAGCCCTGCGTGATGGCTGGCTTCACACTTGTATTTATTCGCACGTAGTACTGCTTCTACTAATCAGTATTAGAAATATTTATTCTTCCTTACTTTTCATTATCAGTAGCGAATCGTTACTAGGGGACGATAACTACATTCTCGCCGAAAGACGATAGTCTTGCGTCTGGAGAGAGTGAACAAAACGTTTATTTGATGTTCTGCAGAAGAACATCAATGTATGGTATTCTGAAGGTGCTACGCTAGAGTGCCTCTAGCACGCAGCGGAGGTGAACGAGCGCATCAAGTCACGTCACACGTGAGACATGAGTGCTATCTGGCAAGTATCTTGAAAATAAAGAGCGTGTCATGCGCGCCCGTCTCAGAGGTGATAAAGTGTAGAACGCAAGGTGATGTGTAGGTGCCAACACCGTGTCGTCTTAGCAAAGCGTTCAAAACACTTGCCCTATCGTGCAAGCCTCGTAACAATATGTGGGTTTTAACGTCCCAACTCCACCTTATGATTATGAGAGACGGCCA